GCAACCTCGTCCTCATCCGTTGGTAACAATACCATGGACTGCGAGTTGTTGTTAAAAGCTTTTTTTGTTGACTCTGTCAGTCCACCCAATATCTTTTCCGCAAGATTTTTGCCCACGTTAGCGAAAAAATCATTAACTAAATTAACAGATAGCTCCGGAGAAGATGATAGAGTTAATAAGTGATGAGATGAATTCTCTTTCTTTTTCGCTCTGTTTGTTATGTTGTTTATTGCTCCCCAGAGTTGCTTAGGATTATTATTGGCCTTTTTTTAATTCATTTTTTCATATTCCAGTTTAATTTTTTTAACAACTTATTACAATAGTTTCTGTACCTAGTAAAAGATATTATTAAGACTTCGTTATCGGGCGACATTTTTGATTTTTTGTGTAAGTTATCTCTGTGTCGAATACAGCGTAAAAGGCCAGGAGTTATCCATGGCTTAACGATTTTTTACGGTTTGCTACTTTCACGACTTTTGTGTTTTTTTCGACCGCCTGTTTGATAAGACTTATCATTAATTCTGCTGCTATATGAGGATCTTGGGTATTATATACTTCACCAAAGTCGATTATTTTCATGTCGTCAGTGAATTGATCATAGTTAATGCGCGTCGTTGTTTTTTTAACCGCTATTTTGGTCATTTTGCTTGCGAGAAATAATAACACGGTATCATGATCTGTTAGTGCTGAATGGGCGACTAATGTTGAAGCAGGTAATAGAGTTTTGAGGACAAAATGATCAAGACATGCATTTTGTCTAGTGGGCAAAGAATGTGCAGGCAGTAGGCCGTGTGACGCTAATAAGTTTAGGTAATTAAGCTTGCTTATGTCGTGGCATTCGTCATGGATGTTAATGTTTATGTCCCCAGTTATTATTATATTTTTGTAATGTGTGATATTAGTCAAGGTTATGTTAAGCGAATGCAGGAAGTTAGTGACGTCTCTATGGCTTGGTGGTCGATATATTGCTAATAAAATGGTAATTTGGTTTATTTTTATTTGTAGACAATTTGCATCTATAAATGGGGGTTCTTCTACAGAAACCTGTAGGTTTTCATGTATGTATACAACAACACCCTCGTTTTGTGTTAGATTGTTAGCAGTATTAAAGTATTTATAACCTGTTAGGTCAGGGATATTATGTGTATTGGGAAGCCAACATTCAGTTAATGTAATTATGTCCCAATCAACCTTAGTCCTAGCGAGTGTGGTATAGAAACTAATCATATTTTTTGAGATACTTCTAATATTTTGATTAAGTATTTTGAGTGATTGCTTAGGGTTGAAGTTTAGTGGGATGCAACTGTCTAAGTCACAGGTAGATGAATTCGACACTGAGACAGAATCTATGTTGTATGTGTTATTTAGTATATTATCTACTATTGTGGTGATTATTTTTGCTTGTTACATTTTTATATGTGACATTTAATAGAGCTAAATTGATAATGAGAATTAATTGGCCGCCAGAAGCAGTACAAAAAAGAGGGCTTATAGCATTTATATATTCTCGTATTGCACACAGCACATGTGTTCTTAGTTAATAACATTAGTTGTACGTAGTGTGTGTATGTATTTGTTAGTGTAGTATTTATGTGTTCTGTAGAATGTTGTATGTATATGAAATGATGTTGGTGATTAATGTAGTTTTTAAATTTAATTCTATAAACTTGTAACAAGAATATATTATAATATATTTGGACAATATTGCTAAAGACAAAATAACGCAGTCTAGTCACTTTTGTCTTCGTAGTCGTGCTAGATCATCTTCTGTCTTGATAAGTCGGCTGGGCATCCCTTCCTTTTTGCGTATGTACACCTTATCGTTGGCTGTCCAACATTGATCGTATTCACTACTCTTAATAAACTCTCTTGCAAGGTAGTAGAGTCACTTTGTCATGGCGGTGAGCACTTCAGAGACGTATAAGAAGTGCTTAGGTCCTTTTTCTTGTAAGTGGGTTGTGTTAAGACGGTTTTCCTTGTTCTGTTTATTATAGATTTTAGTTGACTTCAAAAATAGTTGCTTTGCCGCCGCTGACGAGAATTCCACAATAATTGTACCCACTGATTCCGTCTTACTCTTCAAACAAAAAATATTTGCAATATCCTGTTCTAGTACGGGATGATTAATAATACTGCCAAGTTTTTGGATTGTGCTTATTAGGGTTTCACGGGTTTCAGGACACTGTAATGGTACATTTTTTATTTCAAGTGATGCTATTCTCAAATTTTTTTCCAAAAAGTCTACCTTATTTTCTAATGTTTTTATAACCTGCTGATTTTTGTTAGACTCTGCTTTTAAATTATTAATCTCAAGCACCGCCTCATCATATTTGTCAGACAAAAATGACATGGTTTTTTGGATTTCTTCGTTTTGAGTACGGATTTCTGAGTTTTGAATAGCGATTTTTGCGTTTTAAGTTCTTACTGACTCTATATATAATGCATGCACTGCTATTTGACGGCAGAGATAGGTAAGAGAAAGGAGTCTGTCAAGGTTAAGAAATTGGCAAAGATAGGTGGTAGCTTACCAGTTGTAAACAGGGTCAAAACATTTATAAATATATTTATACATAAGTAAAAGAAAACGTCTAACAAAGCTTATTATGATGTCCATATGTATGCTTATCTTTCAAATAATTACTTGATTTGTTTTTTACTTTCTCCATGAGTGCGTTTTACATGCACTTTGCCATCTTTATTTTGTGTTCATGGGCTACAGTAACCACTTGTCATAAGATAAATTGTACCTTATTTTAATAATATCAAAAAAGGGTATATATTACCTGTTTCATGATTCCCATTTACTTCAAATTTGGAATTCTCATATTCGAATTTCTCTTCCTCAACTGATTCAAGGTTGAAAATGTTATCCTTACAATCATTTTCTATATCACACTCTACTGGCCAGATATCTATATGATAAACTGGTGTGAATTGAATCTTATCTCTAGCCTCATACGGTTTTGGTATTGACTGAAACCAAATTATTTTTTTAAATAAGAGAAAACTCCAGTGTAGTGGTGGCGTAGGAGAATCCACACTAGCACATACCATCCCGCAGATGTTGTAAGAAGGGACAGGAGGAAACTGAAACATGAGATGGGCAGCAGCAACTTCCTGACAACAAGTTTAAATAATAATGAAAACCGGAAAAAAGTGAGGATTCAGAATAAAGTTAAATAATATCCATCCCGACTATCGAGTCTCAACAATCATTCTTTTCAGACTCATGAATGCTGTAAACTAACAAAGATTTATATTTGTTCACTGCGTGATGTTACCTATAGATAATATTTCATTTATATACAAAAAGTAATATATAACATGAATTATTTATGTAACAATAAGTACTTAACTCACTGTAATTCGTCAAATATAGAACATTGCTTAAAGAAAATTAACTTTGCAGTAAAAAAAAACCATTCGCTTGTATGGCAAAGGGAAACAGCATAGAAGGTAAAAGGAGACAGGTAGTGACCATCAAGGTGCCTGCCAAGTGATGATTAAGGCAAATACTTCATTATAATGGGAATTAACCATCAAGCAGTGAACTTTTATTAATAAGAAGTATAATAATGTGGTTTATTAATCTGCTGCACGAATTATTGGTCGCCGAATGAGCGGGTAGATGGGGGGAGGGGTAGGAACCTCCCCCTAAAAGAAATAAGTGCCGGAAACCCCGCATTTTTTATGAAGTTTTTTAGTAATCTGCCGCATTAATATATGGTCACCGAGTGGGAGGGGGGCTAAGGTAGGAACCTCGCCCTAAAAGGTAGGAACCTCGCCCTAACAGGGGGGAAGTGCGGGAAACTCCCTTTTGTTGTAAAATCATAACCTCATTTTTTTATACAGGAATATTGACGCAGTTACTTCTGCAACGGCTTCGGCACTGCGGGAAGTGCAGCCCCTTTGCCCGTGCGTAGCAAATCGCAGGCACCTAAGCGAGCCGTAGCGGCTGAGGCGAGCGGGGCCTGCTCTCCCTCCGTGCCTACGGCTTTGCAAAAACACTCTAGGGGTAGGGCAGACAAGACTATGTGGAGTCGGGGTGTGCTAATTCGGTTTTAGAACCGATTCGACCTATTTTATCTATAAAGTCTAGTTACTCTTAACTCTGCTACTAGAGTGGTAAATGAAATAATGTAATGTGAATTGTTATAATTTTGTTTTCGGATAAACCTCTTGACTGCTCTCCACTGCAACTCAATTTGTTGTATATAAGTCCCATCTCCACCACAACAAATGGATTGCCTGGGTCCAAGTGAGTAACTTTTTTATGAGTGTATCTGTGTTAAAAAAACAAATTGACATATTTGCGTTTCGTTATATGTAATTTAAAGTGAAATTTATTTTTATCGTAAGTAATTAATTCAAAAGGCATTTACGAAATCCAAAACCAGTGTAAATGGTTCGAGCATAACCCTGAAAATCCTCCTAAATTGAAAACATAATTAAAAAAATCAAGTATCGGAAATCTACTTCATAATACGAGAACAAATTGACATTTACACTATTTTTCGTAAAATTTGTTTTTACCGTAATTAATTCAAAATGCATTTCCGACATCTAAAAACAGTGTAGTAGGTTTAAGGTTAACCCTAGAGTGGGCGCGCTATGAGCATTTTGCCGCACTTTGTAAAAAAATGTTAGTAATATTTAAACCGTTTGTTATTGAAGGTCAAGCGTCTCATTAGCTGCGTGTATACTCCTCCCGCACCCCCCCTCGTAGTTACGAAATAATCAGTGCGCAGCCTACCTCAGGAGGACTAAATTGTTGTGCACTGGTCCTGGGACGCGGCAAATTGCTAAGTGCGCGTCCACTGACGTAGTTAAAATTTTACGTTATAACATATTTATTTTTGGCCAAATGACATTTATTTTTTGGTAAGTACTGCATTGTTTTGTTTATTTATGTACCTGTGTAGTATAATTTTATGAAATTAAGAGTTATTTTTTATTCTGAGGCTTTGTTTTATATCTTTTCAGCTTTTCATTTCAGCAAAATGAATAAGCAAGACGAATCAACCGCTGATGAGGCGAAGCCCGAAGTAATCACATTTTGTAATGGTACTAAGCGTGGAGTGGATACTGTTGACCAGGTGAAAGAAGAATACTCTGTGGGCAGAATGACTCGAAGGTGGCCAATGAGATTATTCTTTTCAATTGGAATATTGGCGGGATAAATAGTCACATACGCATTGGGGCAGCGCGGCAGACACTTCCATGGTATTCAGTTGGAGCCTCATGGCTAAACCCTCTCAGAAATAAGGGGAGGCCTGTGCCCAGCAGTGGGACGGATATAGGCTGTAACTTTACTTTACTTTACGTAGTCACATTACTTACACAGCAAACACTAAAACTGTCTTACTGCGTAGAATGTACCTAAAAGTGATAACCCTAGCCGTGGTCACACCACATTTAATGAAAAGATATCATAATGACATTCCCGAGCTCACTAAGAAGACAAATCGCTCACTTGGTACCAATGGTGAACCAAGAAACCCATGAAAAGCGAGAGGGAATATGCTCAATATGTCTTATAAGAAAAAAAATCGACACAAAAAAAAAAGGGTGCAATGTATGTGCTAAATTACTGTGCAACGAGCACTGTATTTACCTATGTAAGGGTTGTTTTGACGGGGCATACGGCCAAGATGTCTAAAGAGTGTTTTTTGTCTAATTTCTTACGGTTTTGTTTATTATATAAGAAATTATGTGAAGTCGTTCCATTTTTTGTTACATTTTTTGAGAATAATTTGAAGTTGATTTTTTGAGACTGATTTATGAGACTGAATTAAAAAGTTTGATTTTTCTAAAGGCTTATGTTTTATTTAAGGTTAACCTTTTCTCATTTATAGTAAATTTAAATAATTAATATGTAATATTTTAGTTTTTCTAAGGGCGGCAAAATGCTATACACGCGCCCACTTACGTTCCATGAAAAGGCGCGCCCACTGTGGGGTTAACCCTAACAAGTCTCCTAGACTAAAAACATTATCAAAATCAAGTACCGGATGTCTAGCCAACTCGATATAACCTCAAAACTTTAACTATCGATATCTCGAAAAATAAAGATTTCCGGCATAAAAAGCAGCTAAATGGTAATGAATAGCATCATTGCCTGTCAACTAAAGCTAAAATAATCACTTAAATCGTGCAGCAGATTACTAAAGCCGACCCCTTTAATTTGCAATATTAGGAAGTATTATTAATCAAAGTCAAACTTACAAAACTGTTCGTCAATGTTTGAAACAAATTTTGGAGACCAGTGTTCTTTAATATAAACATGCGTACATTGACGCTTAAACAAATTCTACAAATTTCACTAAAGGCCATTGCTGTATCTTATACTAATCCTGGGTGCGTTTGGCAGAAAAAAGCGCTAGCAAGCGCTTGTAAGCAAAATGGCGATCGTAAGCGGTAAGCGCTGTCAAATCGTAAGTAGCTATTTTCCTCTAGGACACGAAGTTAGTTTTAAACGGGGAACCTAACCTAATTTAAATATATGTTTGTAAAGTATTCATATACAAAACTTACCAATCATGAATTTTTAATTACATGTATATGTTTATTCATGTCATTATATTACTCAAAACTAATATTGCACAAAACAACTTATAAACTCTACTTCAAAACAAACAAATTAAATAAGCAAAATGGCGGATTGTGTCAGCGCTACTGAAGTAGCAATCGTGTCCTGGCCGAAAACTATTTCAGCGCTTATAAGCGCTTGCTAGCGCTTTTTTCTGCCAAACGCACCCCCTGTATCTGTGTGTATGTTAATAAATCACAGACCAGACCAGATAGAGAAACCAAATATAAACCATAGATAAATAAACCAAAGTTTTTCAAAATAATAAATAATATCACTAACTAGATGCACACTCAGTGTTGCCAGATGCCTTGAACCTTTTATCTCTCTAGTATATACGCAGTAATCTATGCTTTTATCTGTAGTCTGTAGTAGAAACTTCTAAAATCTGTATTAAAACTGTATGCTATTTAAACTTAAAATCAGTATAAAATCTGTAAAGTCAAGTAAACCAAAATATATTATTGATCATCATCATCATCATTGCTTCTTTTGAAAAACAAGGAATAACTACTAACATGATATGGTTTGACTGTTTTAAATGGCAAAATTTAAAACATAAATTAAACAAACAACATATTAAAACTCAAATATTTGCAACAAACTAATAATTACTTTATTATTTTCAGTCATACATATTTAATATACCGCATGACCTTTTCTAACGTCTAGAAAAAATAGTTTGCAACATGAGAAGAAAAAAAGCCTATTTTTAACATAGATAGTGATATTTTACAAAAAATAAAAACAAAAATTTTGAATTAAATAAATAAATAAATTAAAATCTATTGAAATTTAAATCATATCCACTCTACTTTACCAACGGCAATAAAACATTAAATTTAGTTGCCTTGTCACTTCGAAGGATCATAGGGTAGGATGGACATTATTTGGATTTCGATAGAACTCACTAATTTATTTATTGAATTAAGTTTTTTTTGTAAAATATCAGTGCCATTATTTGGATTTCGATAGAATTCCTTGTTTTTTTTTTGTAAAACATCAGTGCCATAGGCTACTCCGTTCACATTTTCCAGACGGTAAAAAAAGATTATCCAGTTTACATATTTTATCTATATATGTATATATGTATTTTATAACACTTAATAGTGCCCCCATACTAAATAAGTACGTTGTGAAAAAAAAATAATTAGCCATAAAGAATAGAATCATGCAATGATGTGTTTTAACGCGGTATCTTGTCATATATTTTGCTTCGTTCTATTTTAAGTTGAATATTATGATAATTTAATCAATAGAGTTAAAAACTCTGAACAAAAATCTGTATCGTGTTAATCTGTATTACACGCCGAAAATCTGTATAAATACGGAGAAATCTATATACATGGCAATACTCACAGTATACACAGTACAGTAGTCTATGAGGTCTATGATCTATGAACCATAGATAAGAGTGTATATACCGTAGACAGAGAAACCTATAGACTAATGATCGGCGTGGCCTCGAGTGAGAAAGGACGATAACGAATTTTTAGGTTATACAATAATCTTTATGACTTTTAAACACATTTAGATAAAAAATTTAATTGTTCTAAGAACTGAAGTGAATAAGATTCACCAATCTTAAGCTCACGAAACACTTTTTTCTCACTTAAACCAACTTGTAAACTCCTTAAATCGCTACGCTGTTAAAGTTGTTTAGCAAACTATAGAGTTTGCTATACAAAACAACCGGCACGGAGAAAGGGATAAATAATCACACCGCTCTGTTTCATTTCTATGCAAGACGTATGCATAAATCTATCTTTTTCGTGTGCAAATGCGAAAGAAAGCGTCAATTTGTCTATAGGTTTCTCTGTCTACGGTATATACGGACGGGAATAGATAAGAATCTCTATACTCTATTCCAATTACGAAGTCCCATTTGACAGCTGTCAATAATCAAGTACTAGTAAAGTACCGCTATAGTCGATACTTGACGATATTGATCTTCGATTACTATAACGAACAAATTAAAATCGTATGGACAGAAAAAGGATTAGCATCAAATTAAAACTTATAAAACTGTTTTTTTTTTTTTAATTTTAATTAGATAATATTACATGATATTTTTATCAAGATGCAACATATTCATCATCACTAGTCGAAATCGATATTTCGTGGTCGGCATCGTCGTCATCACCCTCATCATCGTCTGTAGAATCTCCTGTATTTATTATAATTTGGTTATCTATGACGGCATCGATATGTATGTCTCTGTCCCAATCAGCGAAAATCAAATTTTTTTGTTCGTAAAACCACACTTTCACAATTCGCGGCAGTAACACTATCACACGCTTCTTGCGTGTGTTAATGATGACAATGACAGAATTTTGTTTGCAGTAAACGGTGGACCGGTATTTTTACGAGCCGCATAACATAAATAAAGGTTTGCAAGTTAATATAGCAACAGATAAAATGTTAAAATAGGTAAAAAAAAAATTATAAAAAAGGTTTGTTTAAATTCTTGCCTTTAATTTGCACCCAAATCAATTCTACGGTATTGTATTGAGAACGGTAGGGCGGAAGGCGCATTACATTGTGTCCGGCTTCCTTAGCCATTTCGTCCAATACGTATTTTGGTCTAGCTGGCTTATTTATAGCAACCAATGCAGCAGCTCAACTTTTAACATGGACATGTCAGCAACAATATTATTGTCATTCAGCTATCTCACATATCGGCTTTTTTGCTGCTAGAAGTTGGAGGCTTACTTATTTGTACTGAATAATACGGTGCATTATCCATAATGATCGTCGATGGCTCATTCAAGTTGGTCAATACGGTACAAAACCATTCCTTAAATTTAATAAAATTCATCTCTTCGTGGTATTCCACAGTTTTCTTAGATTTAAACGCCAAGAGGCAGTTCGTAACAAATCCCTTCATGTAACCCGCATGACAAACAATTAAGCGTTCGCCTTTGCTACTAGGTACTTTTGTTTTGTACAGTACAGGAGTTTCTTCTGTTCATATCTTGCCAACCGTATGATTAGCGTTTAGCCACGTCTCGTCTAGAAATATAACAATATTCCAAACGGCAATGGACTTTGCTGATCTTAGAAAAATTAAATCTGGGTAAAGCTATATCTCTACGTTCCATCGAAATCCACCTTTTATCACATTTTTTATAAGAAAAGCCAACATTTTTTAAAACCCTCCAGAAAGAAGTTCTACTGCCGTGAAACAGTCCAGATTCTCGTAAGGTATTTGACAATTTATCGAGAGTCGGCAATTCGTTCCTACTATAGTAGCCTTAGATATGGTTTCTAATGGCGTCGTTATCAAAATTGTCGATATGTGTAACTATCGATCTTCTAACATTTTTCTTAAGTGGCGATTTTAATTTGTTATCCATGAAATCTTTACCATGTTTTTCCTTACTTATTCGGGAAACAGTTTTTCGACTAATACCAAGAGCTGCACTTACTCAGTTAGTCACTTGTGAAAGTGGCAACAATGGATCACCATTCTGATGCTCTCTTTCAAAGTAATCTTGTAGGCGTACT